TTTTATTACTCTTTATTGTAGCCATGCTGAAAGACCCAGCTGGTATTCAAAGGACAAATCACACTGACAATTTCAACCGCAGTAAAGGTCTGATCACTGTCCTATCACGGCTAACTTTTCTAATGAGAATAGACTCTGTATCCCTTATGGCTATATATCCAAATAAACTATCAGAAATCAGTGGAAAACTTTTTTACCTTTTGGCTTTAAACTTACAGAACTGATGAATATTCATAAAACAAAGGTCAAGTTTGTAAATCAACATGATTGAGCCATTCTTTCAAAAGTTGTGCTGTTTTTTCGCTTTTTTTTAAGCATGTATGCAACACTGATAACACAATAAGTGGTAAACCATTTAACCTTTTGGCTTGAAACTTGCACAACTGTTGAATATTCATAGTACACAGATCAGCATGATGGGGCCATTTTTTCAAAAGTTATGTTTTTTTTTTGTTTTTTTTTTTCAGTATACATGCAACACTGATAACATATTTCAAGGAAAACCGGTAGGCATATTGTCTTGAAACCTACAGGAGTGATCAATCTTACTACAATACTGGGAAAGTTCGATAATCAGCTTCATTGGGCCATTTTTACAAAAGTAATGCATTTTTTACTCTTTTTATGTACATACATATAGCGTCTGTCGTCATCGTCGTAACTGTGCACTTTCACCGATAACACGATAAGTGAAAAACCGTTTTACCTTTTGGCTTGAAACTTACAGAACTGATGAATATTCATAATACGCAGGTCAAGAAAATCAGCATGATCGGGCCATATTTATGGCAGTTATACTATTTTTTCAGTATATATGCAACATTGATAACACATTTCAAGAAAAACCCATCAGCGTATTGTCTTGCAGCTCACAGGAGTGATTAATCTTACTAATATACAGATCAAGTTCGATATTAAGCTTGCTCTGTCAAGTTTTGATGAAGTTATGCCTTTTTATATATATAAGTGATTTTCCTCAGATTTTATTCTTAGGCATGTTAACAGTCTCATTATTGAACTAATTAGACATGTAAAAGTGTTTTTTGACATTTTCTACATCTTAACAATATTGTTATTTGTTAATATAAAAATGACAGTAAACCTGTTATTGTGTATTGTGTAATAAAATATCAAAAATGAAAATAAACTCATATCATTGCATCTTCTCAGATTCAATCATTCACTATGTTCAGAATTTCAGAATGGAGCAAATTGGACATTTAAAATTGTTAGTTTGATATTTTCCCTATGTCAGCAATTTTTTTAGTTGATCATATAAAATGAGAGTAAATTGATTATTTTGTTTAATGTAAAAAAGATGATGAAAATGGAAATAATCTCATTTCAGTACAGTTATTTCTTGTTTACAGTTTGGCATTTTCAAGGTAAGACTGAATTTCTATGGGCTTGAAGACTTTTGCTAGTCACATTTTCTGAATATACATGATACATTATTTTATTAATGAAAATTGATGGACATTATGCTGATAAGCATTATGTAATGTTGCTTCAAAATTGAAGAAAACCTTATTTTGGACACTGCTGCCAGGATGACCATTAAGGGAAAACCATGTTACTTATGATTCTCAAACTTACTGAAAAGATTCATAGGACTGAAGTGCAGCTTGTGTTGGAAGATCAGAATGATTGCTTTCTGTTTTGAAAGTAATGCAGTTCTTTATGAAATTTTCATTTCTTACATAGTCCTTGGTATTATATGGATACAATGAATGATCATTCTTTAATTTCCCCTTGGGTAATCACTAGCTAAGTTCAAAGCTATTAAGTCACTTCTTAATTAAGTTTCAAGAGGCCATTAAATGAGATTACATAAAACACACATGTTGAGATTTCTCTGTAAACTCCCATAGGTTTAGCTCTCTGCTAGATACAGTTTGTTAAAGTCTAAATTAACAGTGTCAGAAAATTAGGAATCAGTGATAATTATGCAGGTAAAAATATTGCAAGTAAGTTACAAAAGAAAATTATTTTGTGTAATGCCAACATAAATGCTATAGATGAATAGCAGTGCCTTATTATCCTCAAACTCAGTGGGGTTATTCATATGATGTTACTACACCTAGATTTAAAGATTGAATAGCAGCTTTATTAGAATATTTTTTGTTATGTTTTCTTTTTTAATTTTTATATTTTTCAAACACTGGCATTTTCAAGATGTGACTTTTTACTCCCATCCACCTGAAGCCCTGTACATTTTCTGTATTTCCACATAAGCAATCATATTGATGTTTATGTCTTTAAATTTTTATGTAATATTATTTTATGCACTGTCGTAATTTTTCACATATGGAGATTTTCATTATGTGAATTTGAACTTTCATGGTCCTGAAACTGTAATCTTATTACCTGTTGTGCATGATTAAAATTCACTGTTGATTGACTGTGCTGTTATTCCATAAGTATCTATTATTGCATCAAACTTGACAAAATTACTTATTTTCTGCATCTTTATTTTCTGCTTTTAGTCTGTACATTTGACAGCTTTGCTGCCTTGTTTTATTGAAATATTTCGTGACATGAGTATGTAATAATGGCTCTTAACACAACATATCCATACTCTGATCAAGGGAGATACAACAGCATCATGTAAGACTTCATTGAAAGTTTTTTGAAGTGATGGGCTTATGTATACAGTATGTGCTTGCATCATGTCATTTTTGCATTTTACAATATAAGTGTATACAATGTTACAGATTAAATTAATTCTTTTGTACAGCATAACACTCACTGCTACCTTAACTCCTGCCATGATGATCATATTATTTTATAATGAGAACAAAGGTATGCATGCTAAACAGTAAGAACGATTGGTGAAAGGTTATTGCAGCATTTATCAGTGTAACTGCAAAGAAAGTAGATTTATTTGACGGCACTTGTATGTGGGTTAACTGAACAGCAGTTTATTTGGTAGTGTGAATCCCCCTTATAACTCCATTGGAATTTGCATATATTTTTGTTGTTGTTGTTGTTGTTGTTGTTGTTGTTACAACTATTTGGCAAGGTTATGCTAGCAATGGATTGTAATGATCACTAAAGTATGTTATGAGACTGCATTTATTTTACTTTTTATAATATTTCCGCATTCTTGTTTTTTGTAGTACACTTTCCCCTTACCATTTCCTAGTATAGGTGGAATGTTTAACTTAGCACCTGTTCCTTTCCAAATGATAAGAAGGCTCAATCTCCTTCAGTTCAACTGGATCTCCTATTTGCTCTCATCATTAAGAGATTTCCATAGAATAGGCATGGGTGTGTTACATCATGTAACTGCAGTACTAAAGCTTGAATGTGTTACTTGAGAGAAGTTTTCCATTCTAAAGTCCTGTGCCTGGTGTGACAACCTCACCTACTGCATTCTTAGCTCTGCTTACAAGTTGTATGGATGATTGTCTTTTTTTCTTAGAGTAAATGAAAATTTGTCTATGTATGTTGAGGTCATACAAATTCTGCTTTTTACCACCCAACACTAGTTCCTTGGTAATGGCCTGACTCAATCCACAATTCAGGACAAATGGTCTTACTCTTCATTTTTGGAATGACTTCCACTGAAGTAATTAAGCAATACCCCTTCCTCACTCATTTAAGCTGTGACTATTCAAGAGAATTCATGAAACCTCCTGTATGTAGAAAGTAGGAGTATCCACTCCCAGGGACAGATCTATCCCAAGTTGCCCTAGGATTCCAAAAAAGCATTACACATATATCTGTGATGATATGTGTATCAATAGTCAAAGTTTCAATTGCAAGTTTCTCACCCTCATAATCTAAGGGTATATAATGGAAATTAAGTAAATAAATATTTAAAAAACAAGAAAGTTTCAATATTATTATGATTTTATTCAGAGACATATACACATATGGTTATTGGGCAATATTTTGCATTTACATTTCAATTTACATCATGAATCAAATTAAATAAAGTTTAAAAAATTATCTACACCCTCCAATAAATATTTGTATTCGTCTTACAATTGGCCTATGGTGCATAAGTATCTAGTATGTACATATAATTAATTTTTTTAATTAACTTTATTAAAGGTGCTTGAATTTCACAACAAGTTAAAGGAATATTTGGAAGTAAATCCTACAACTAGTGCTTTCTGTCAGTTCAATTTGATACTCTCTTTCAAGGTTAAGTACTTATAACACCAGAGAAGTTATGCTTTAGGCACTGTACACATGAAATATCTAAATTCTAAAAATCCAAAAATCCATTGGCAGTATCTAGTGATCACGGTCTGTGCCCTGAATACCCCGCTGTGTAATTAACTAGCAGTGCGAGCGTGTCACTTCGAAAGCCGTAATTAATTCTCAGGTGCGCTCGGAGGAGATTCTGGCACCTTGACGCATGCGCAGTAATAAATTAAAAAGAGAAAACGGCGGTCGCGGTTGCTTTGAAAAATGTGTTTGTTGATTTTGTGCAACAGCAAGTCGAAGAAGATGAGGTCCATATACACACGATATGAATGCAACCGTCATGATCCGATGGTAATAGAGATACTACTGCAATATAATTCTATCATGGCACGTGAAGTAATATCTCCTTTTTAAGATCAATCAGTCATTCAGAATTGGCTAATTAAATATTTTACTCATAGTTCTAATAAATACAGGTATATAAATAATATAGCTATAGACATTACATGCCTTCTTTTAAATAATCACCATAAATAGAAGTTATTCAGTGCCTTGTTGAGTTATATTACACATGTACTGTACACTATTTTATTCCACTGTAAACCAAGTAAAAAAAATTGTTTTCTGAAACTACTGACAAAGATAAAATAAGACATAATGCCCTTTGTTTGCTCTATATCCCCAGTCAGGACAGTGTAGGCTACATGTTTGGCTGAAGTAATGTCTCTTTTTAAGACAAAATCAGTCAACAAAATCTTCATCCTTCTTATGCAAGATTCATTGTTTTGATTTTTGTGTAAAAACTAGATAACAAATAAGTAAAAGGTGAAATTATGTTAACCAAATTTCAAAATCAGAATTAATTTTCATACATTATTTATAACCTAACACAGTGACTGATAGAATGACCACTGTACCCTCCTCACTGGACATGCTGTGTTGGGGACAAAAGTACTAATCGGCTGACCCTCTACTGCAGCTGGCATTTTACATGTTCCCATGAAAGTAAATAGTTGCTCCTCGCGCCAGAATTTAATGTTACAATCACAATTGATAGGATTATTATTCAGTTTGATCTGCACTCCCTCAGGCAGCCCTTTCAAGTCACAAAGGCGTAATCTGTCAATTGCATTCCCTGTTAGATCTATGTACTTGAGACTTTCTAGGCCTATGAAGGCATCTGCTTCTACCTTATCTATTTGATTATTACTAAGATTAAGTACTTTCACGTTCTGCAAGTCCTGGAATGCAAGAGGTGGTATTGTTGTAAGTTCATTACTGCTTAGGTCCAAGCTTTCCAGCCTGGTCAGACCCCTGAAGGTCTCAGCCCCAATATGTGACAACTTATTCCCAGTGAGGTCCAAGTCACGAAGCTGTGACAGTGTTGAAAATGTCTTATCTTCTAGTGCAGTGAGTGCATTCTTTTTAAGAGATAGAGTCTTTAGATTTGGTAAAGGATAGAATAGCTTGCCTGAGAGAGATGTGAGGTGATTGTTCTCGCTGATGGAAAGCTGCTTCAGGTTGTTGAGCTGCCGCAGCAAACGGGTCGGAACTGCAGTAATGTAGAGATCTTGTAGAAAAAGACGCTCCAAATATGGGGCAAGAGGATCAAAGGTTTTCACATTGATGCGGTTCCCAAGTCTTGTGTATAGAAGGTACACCTCACGAGCCTTGAGATTTTCAAATGTTCTTGCTGATAGAGAGTTGATGTGGACATCAAAAGCTCCAAATTCCTGGAGGATGATGTTGGGGAAAGAAGGAAGTTCAGTGGTATCTTTACCACAAATAACTGCCATGCCTGTCTCCCTGAGGAAAAATGGAAAATAAAAAGAGTTTAAAAATTATTAGTTAACTTAAAATGTAGAGTGGTAGGGCAGAGAGAGAGAAATGGAAACTTTTTCAATTTTAATGTAAGACAAAGATTTGTAAAGCCACATATGAAGCAAGTATAATGTATTTAAGTCACTACAGGTATCTCCCACAACTCATATAAAACACATCAAAAGATAAACCAAAGTAATTACTAGATCAGCCAATAAGTTTTAAAACTGCATCCTCTGAACATTTTTGATTATAAAATTGGCCTACTTATCCATCCCTCTAGTTCATTAAAGTTTGCCAAATGATGTAGTAATGTGTGATGCATTACTGTTGTGCACAATAGCATAATCATTCAAATGACATTTGGTGAAAACGAAAGAGGGATTTATACATGTATAGCACAGAAAGAAAACAGAAAATATATCTTCAAATGTCTTTTTTTTGGGGGGGGGGGAATAGGAAGTGAATGATACCTTTTGATATATCTTGAAGTTATGTAATATGAAACTAAACGGTGGCATTTGGTCTGGTTTAGTGGCAAAAATTTGACGTCACTAACTTCTAATGCATTTTTAAAGTTAAAGAGAAACAACTGTCAAATGAGATTCATATTTCACAATAAGTACATTGTAAACAACTCGGAAAATATAATAAATTTCATTTCACCACCAAAATAGCCTTTATCGCAATTATTCTGGTATCTGTGCTTGCCATCAAATCACATGAATTTCTATAAATGACTATACCTCCTTAATAATATTTTAAAAGATTGTTATCAAAAAAAAAACAAACTTTTTTTATGAAAAAACATGAACTAACTTTAAATGTTGGAATGGATTCAATAACCACTGGTTAATAGCTTTATCCTTATAACTTAATTTATAAATGAGAATTCCTATAACATAATTTATAAATGAGAATTATTTTCTTTCTTGTTTTTTTTTTTTTTATGTATGTTTATTAAACTTCAACACATCAATGAGAGTGTATCTACAGTTTATGCCCTAATGATATTATTTATTTTTAAAACTAAATAAGATGTTTTTATTGCTGATGCAAAAGTAAAAATTCATGATTTTTAAAATAATGGATAGATATAGACAGAAATAATAAAAGAGACTAAATTGCCAATTAGGCAAGAAGAGCATTAATGCTTATTCACATTTTAATAAAAAGTGGAATGAAATACCAAACACAGACATGGGATAAAAGGGAGAATGCAACCCCCTAAAACTACTTACTTGGGCGTACATGTGCAAGGTGTAGGACACCTGAAGTAGTCTTTGGGAAGCTCTCGCACTGCACATCTGGATATCACCACCAGCTGTAGCACAGTCACATAGTATAGCAAGGAGCCCATGGTCATTGTCTTCAAGACTGTGAGAAAAAATCACTTGTAGAGTATTATGGAAGTTTGAAAATGCTTGCTGCAACTTGGCCGGGTAGTCCTTCACTACAAGTAGCTTTGCTGTCTGACAGTACTGTGTTTCACCTGCTGAATTCTTCAAAAGTTTCTGTGTTAGTCAAGTATTCCCACTTAATCAATTAATCTTTGCAAGCTTTTTCTGATACTATTGTTGGTTGTCTGGCTTTAAATACTTGCCTTCACAGGAACCACCAATGGATAATTAATGTCTGTAACCAAGTGAAAATGATTGATTTTCTACTTAAACTGCTCTCTGTCTCTTATCAGTGATTTCCCCAAGGAAGAGTAAAGCTTGGCTTTTATATTTATTATCAACTGATGCTTTTTCCCTTCTTAATTTACTTCTTTATTATTCCCTTTCACTCTTTGTCACTTCTGTCCTATCTTCTTTGATACTTTTTAAAAAAATTCCTAGCTGGTGTGAGTCTCTCAATCTCAGTCTTTTTTTTTT